TCCAGCCCGAGATCAGACGCGCCGGCGTTATTTGAGCAGGCCGTCGCAATTTATTTGGCCGATCATTCTCGTTAATTATGCAGTTATGCGCCGCGTCGCGGTCGGACGAGCTCTGCGTCTATCGTAAAGCGCCGAACGTTTCGCAGCCTTGAGAATCTTCAACGGCGACCAGGACGAAATTCCGTGCTATAGCTAGCGGTCAGCTGTAAAAAAGCCGGTACCGCTGTAAAATGCATTGTAAACTACGTTTACGACGCAACGTGTCTTCGCGCGATGCTCGCTATGAGCCTGCTTAATGTTCTGCGAATTGCTCGCTCGCTTACTTATATACATATATAAACATCTACGTGCGAATGCGATATGTGGAATATGTAAGGAGATCGTGTATCGAGAAAAACTTCTTTCGTAATTAAGATCAGTCATAATTGGCCAACTGTGAACTAAATGTGAGACTTTGCGATAATTATTGACGAAATATATTGATAATTATTACAAGACCGTCAGATAATAAATATTATATACATCATTATAAAATCATTAGAAAGCTATAAATTATCAGTCATGTAGTGATTGTTTTTCTTTTGTCATAAGTTCGATATCCCTAATTTATCGCAAGTGACTCCTTTTTTTCAAGATATTGGAAAAATAGAAAATTTTCATAGACATGATCGTCGACATATTAGATACGTGATGGTCAAGTCATTATGACATGTGTCATTTTCTCAATGTACAAAAAAAGATGAATTAATTCAATATGAGGTAAAATGTGCTATCAGTGTAATTTAAACTGTACGTTAACGTTAGATAGATAGTAATGATTTACACATAGAATATTTAAATCACTTTCCAACATAATCTAGTACTCTCAAAAGAGAACGATAGTTCTTTTTATTTTTATTTTTTAATTTATTTTAATTATTTTAATTTATTTTTTAATTTATATTTTAATTTAATTTATTTTTATTTTTTTTAATGTTAGGCGTGTCAATAATAGTTAACAAAAATTGAATAATATTAAAAATTCTTAAGCGGACAGCGACCCTTTGACGATAAATCTTAGTCTAGGGGCCACTTTATTAATATTGTCTACTTAGCATCTTTACTTTGCTCGTTTAAATTTGTTTGATAAAACATTGATTGAATCCGTGAAATTATACATTATGAAAAATGTTCTCACGTCTTTTAATACATTTTTGCTAAAAGAAATTATCTTAAATTTATGAACATTATAAGCTCAGTTTTCATCAATTTTGTGACATCTTGTGTATCTCGTTTGATAATTTAATTTGTATGCAAACTACGCCAGACTATCGAATGGATTAATAACCAGAAGACCAATTTGATCGGCTTTACAATGAATATTAAGAGAACGTTGAGTGAGATTGACTTGGCCCAATTTGTTAATAAGCTCGTGCGCGTAATTGAATCGCGTCACGGTAATCCGGTCGTGTGAAAGTATCGTGATTCTCGATAACATAATTAGAGAGAGGCATCAAATATCGATCTACCGATTTTAATGGTAACAGATTTCCATTTTGATTTCCTAGTGCGGATTTGCTCATTTATCATTGTCGCTTTCATCGTGGTTATCATTGATAAGGTACATTTATGATTTATTCATTTTAATCTGGAAATAATATGGATATGATAATTCCATCGTTTATAACAGAGAGAGACTGACCTATTTAAATTGAATCGCGTTAAAATAATAAGCTTATCGGTAAAACGAAAATTTATATACGAACAATATTACTGTACAATGTCAAGATATATCAGATAAAAATTGATGTTATTTAAATAATGAATTATTTTTTCGCTTTTAATACCTGCGTTAATCCTTTGATTAACATTTTTTTTTAGTTTGTACTTTTTTTTATATTATTTTACTTATCTAATTATACTTTTATATACAAGGAACGAAAATTTTATTATTTTATTATTTAATATTCGAATGTTGTAAAAATTGTATATTTATTGAAAAAACGGTTTTGTTAAAGTACTTAAAAATTTAGCAAGACATAATGCTGAAAATAATTTGATTTGGATCATTAAAATAATTATGTAGGGTTGCTTAAATTGGTTACTAAAATATTAAAATTTTTTACAGCATTGTATTATCAACGTTAAAACATTCTACATAATTATTTTGATGATTTAACATAAATTATGTTCAGATCTGTATCTAGCTAAAATTGTAAATATTTCAACAAAACCATTTACTAAAACATATGTATATTCTTTTCAAATATATGTGTTTTATTAACGCGAATTATATTTATTTATCTCGTATCATATAATATTTATTTATGTCTCAAGAATAGTAAGGACAATAGAATCAGTTATGAAATGTAACTTTAATGTAATGTTACATGTGTGCGATCGTGGAGACAATTATTCGCACGTTGTATAAATATTGCGGCATAAGAGCGATATAAATACATTGCCTATTCTTACATATTCTGTGGTAAAGTCTCAACAGAGAAACTTTCTATTATGGCGCACGATAGCGGAAGTTCGCGTATTCTAAATGGCATATGTATGTGCGTCGTCTGGTCAGTGGTCATTATCATATGAAAATGTGTGACGGTTTACTTACCATGAGAAAATGGCACCGCCGGCGTAATCGCGATGCATATACGCACACATACGTGATTTAGACACGCGATTGTCGTCGTGCAGAGATTCTGTGCGCGCGTTACATGCGTGCGTGCGTAAAAAGACGCTCGTTTCATTATACTAAGGCATCGAGAAGAGAGCAATCGCTGGCGGTAATGATGAAGAGCGGCGTAAATATAATAAAGCGTTCGAGCGACGTTAATTTACGGGTGAAACATGTGAAATAATGTTTGCGGGAAGAACTGGCTGAGCGTGGCAGTGCGTCGACCTTTTGTGCATTATCTTCGTACGTGCGTGTGTATATGAGATTCGATTTGTAGATTAGGTGTGTTCTCATGGAACGATTTTGCTTGGTCGATACATCACGAAGCGTTGTGAACGCTTTTTTCCCCAGACAATCTCGCATAAATATTTCAGATTGTATTCTAAGCAAGTATCTAATTAAATTAAAATAAGCTAATTGAAGATGATGTCGGTTAATGTAACTGCTAGTGACATAATTAAGTCAAAATGCCTTTAAGATATACAAATCTCTTTAAAATATCTGATTTTATTTTTAACACGTTCTTAATATGACTATATATATGTATATATTTTGAAAATAATATTTCTTCAAAAGTGATCAGAGTTTATACAAGCACGAATTATTTTTAATTGTGAAGTCATTTAAAATAAAAGATTGCAACCAAATAACAAAATGCTTCACTTATGTTTCAGTTAAACATAAATGGACTTTCCGAATGTTTCAATGAAATATTCGAGCATGTTTCGTATCGGTCTCGTATCTCTTAGTGGATCATGTAGTAGTTAATTAATTCACTCGGATAGTCTACTGAGTCTACTGAGTTGTTAATTGCTGATTCCGCAAAACCAGCTGAGCGTATGACTAAAATAGTTAGTTTGTTTCGATGCTGAAGATTAAAATCAACAGCTATTTGAAACTGTCAAATTGCATTAAAGGCTCGATAATTTTCTCTATCAACACGTGTCGATTTCTCGAACTTATTATTCAACATTTCTCACTGATTTAGAATAAGAGAAACGTACTATATCGCGTTAAGACAAAAGCACAATAATTTGTCGCTTAAATATTTAAAGTACTTATACAAAATCATTTAAAGATTTTTATTATTTTTTAAATTTTGATTTATAACAAAAATAATAACAAATGAAATAAATGAGCTATAAAAATGTGTTATTTGATAAAATAGAATGTTATATACATAACTTTTATGTATATAGTTTGTTTAAAGTATAAATATATATGCTATATATATCTATGATATACTTTAAGAATTCTTTAAATCTCTTTTCTTTCTCGTTGATTGAGTGATAATACTGTCATTAAATTGAATTTTTTTTTAAATTAAAACTAGCAATACTTATTCTGGCTTATATTCAAAGTAAACACATTAGAAAAATATTACCAGCAGCGCTAATGTGTCGAATATTTTAATCGCTATTTTAAAAAATCGGCTAATTAACAAACTCGCTAACTATTTTTATATTTTAATTATTACACATGTACAAATTGATGTTGATGAAGTTAATTATAAATGGAGATAATCAAGTCAAGGAAAATAATTATTTCTCTAGACTTGAATATTAAGACATATTTTAAGGAGAAGGGAAGAAGTTGAGAGCAGAGAATATAATGGATGAGAAAGGTAGAAAAAAGAAGCGATAGAATAATGGATGTGAGAGGTGGATAGATTAAGAAAAGGTTGTGGAAGAGAGAAAGAAAATGAGTGTGAGAGAATGAGTGAATGAGACAAGGGGTCCTTTTGTAAACCCCAAGTCCATGTTTTATGCAGTTCCTAAACGATCAATATTATTATACAATATTTGATATTGCACAATATTATTAATCATCTGAAAGCTATATTGAGTCTCTAAACTTTACTTTGAATTGTTTAAAGGAGGTGTCAATACATAATATTGTATAAAGTAATTACATAATATATTGATATCATCTAAGGATCGCTTTAAGTTGAATAAATATATTTTTCTAAATTCATTCCTTTTTTTCTCGCTTTCTCTCTCTCTTTGTCTCTCTCAATCTATATTTCTCGATTAATAAGTTTATTGAAATAAAAGCGAAAGATCTTCTAAATGATGATAATTAATTTTCTAGGTTTTCTCTCAATCGTACTTCTCGACTAATAATTTTATTTTTTTGAAACGGAAGCGGAATATTTTGCCCTCGATTAAAATAGAAATTCTATCCCGATTATCACTCGATCTATTTGAAATTAATATCTTCTTAACGTATTTAAATTATTATTTGGCGATTATAAAATATTATCCTATATTGAGTATAATCTTATTTATGATTGAATTATCATAATAGCTTATTGAAGTATTGGTGTTTGTTATTTTTACAGTCTGAGCGAATGTTACTTCGCGGGCAAGGGCGCAGCCCTGGTTTTACCGCCGAACGAAAGGGCTCGTCCTTCGAGGCGAGTCTCGGCGGCAGGATGCGATATTCAGCAACACTTACAGTCTATGTTCTACCTGTTGAGGCCCGAGGAGACTTTGAAGATGGTAAGTACAAAGGGTTTTTGAAACAAGTACCTTTGTTTAAGGAAATTGCACAATTTTCTTAGTATAAATTTTATACTATAAAATCATCGTCTTGTGCCGCAACTACATTTGATTTGTCTTCTAAAATAGCGCGTAGGGATTATATCGAATGTACCTCACAAATATATCTCACACGATCTTCCGTGTAGCATCGAAGATTACCGTATTGAGGCGAGCAGGCGCGTTTGAATGCATCGCATAAAGCGCGACTGTTACGCGGACACTAAAAATATTTCCGGTTCTGAGAATTGGCAATTGCAAATTGGCAACGGTTTCGATGTTTCGCGCAGTAGAACGGCAAAGTCACGGGGTTTTCACGTTCAAGCCGCTACCCAACTCTCGTGCGATTTACGGCTCGCATTGCGGGATAATTTCGCGCGCGTGTCTCGATGTGTTTTCCTTGAGACGTGGACGAACCGTGTGTCCTCAATTACACGCGTTCGCGAAATTGGCAGCTCTTGCTATCGTTTGCCTTCGCTTCGTTGCCACTCGCTCGATTCGAGCGCGTTGAGAATTATGGCTTTACAATTCCGCTCGACACCGCCGCCAAGACACACCGTGGAACACTCGTCAGAATCGTGTAAACAAGCAAGCATACTTGGGTACACTCTACCTGCCGTCGCGCAGTCTTGAACGGGGCAAGGAAGTTGGCAATCGCTATTATCTTGAAACGTGCTCCGACATAATACGTGATTTCACAAGCCAATCTTGGTATCTTATTTTTTAATATCGCGTTCCAATGCAGTTTGTACATATAATCGGGATATTGACATGGAAAACAAATTAATTAATCGAAAAATGTTAATTGAAGCAAGTATTAATAAATGTGATGAAAATTTTTTAAACTTTATAACTTTTATTTCCTGCAAACATGAAAATTTTTGTCTTTTACGACCTCCACTTATTTCCAACGCCTTAATTAAAGAAATTTTTTTAATAATTGTATGTGTTTTTTTAAGATTTATGTGACAGATATAAAGAGTTTACGTGACTTATCAGCATAAAAATGTAAATTATTTTGCACCTCAAAGACTTGCGTGTAAATATTGGCAATCAGAAGCTGCGGGATTCTTGAAACGACGCATGTACTCTTACTTTTGATTAGTCGTGTTGTGGAGTAAACACATATGCTATGTAATTAATGCCCGTGAGGTTAATTAATGCACTCCACCTTTTCTTCGCGCGTTCTGACAATTAGCAAGTCGCGGAACTTTGTTTCCCTTAAGACACAGGGACTTTAATTTCCTTTGTGAGCAGCACGGAAGCGATTCTGCCGTTATTCTTCTGTATACGAGGAAGTTCCGCGTGGCCTGTAATAATTCCGTCGGGTATCCTTAAGTAATATATCCACAACGGCTCTGAACAATGCGTTCTCACGTGAAGTGCGTTCAAGACGTTCGTGCAGGCTTCCTCTGTTTAGCAAAAGTTTCCAAGATTCACATTGATATGAAACATTTCATAATATTTCATATTGAATATTAGAAAATTGCAACAAGAATTTTGTTTCTCTTAAGGATAAATTGATCAATCACAAATTGATCAATCAAAAAGTTTGTTAGAATTAAGATTGAAAATCTATGGCAGATCAAATAATAATAGTATACAATAAATAAACAGTAACACAAATTAAATAGTGTAGAAGTTTTCTTGACTCTTTAAATTCTTTGAAATCTCTTTTTAAAGAGTGAAAATTGCTTTTCACTCAGTTTTGAAAAAGAGTGACTTAATTTTCAATCTTTAAGAGTGAGATTTTATTCTTCAGAATGAGATTCATTCTAAAAATTTTGAAGAAAGTGTTTGAAGTTTATTTTATTATATTGATCAAAATTGAAAGTGCAAAGTAAAATATAATGAATAATTAATTATATCGTTCATTTATTCATCGTTTATTGTTGAAGCGAAATCCGGAATCCAGATTTGAATCTGGATTCTTCAAGTACGAAGATTTCTAAGCCTAAGCATATTGTATTTGATGGATAGTCCGCTGGTGGCGGAACATCCCGATCCGATTTGCAGTCATTGAGTAGATAAGAGAGATAAGACACGCGGCTGTGATCTCGAAAGCTCGCACCGCGCTGTCTATCGTGCGATTGCGACCTGGAATTTTCCACGTGGGATCGCCTCGAGTCGACCGGTGCGACGATGTCGCGACTTGGGACTGCCGGTGAAGTGGGCTAAGTGCGACCCACATGCGCGGGTCGTCGTTGTCGTCGTCATCATCACAGCGAAGGCGACGCATTTGAGGTCGCGGCCGATGAGCAACGAGCGCTTCCGGTCGGTGCGCGGATAAGGGAAAGGCGACTACGGGTTTCGCCGTCGTGAATACAATCGAATCGATAATCGCAGGGAAGACACGGTCCATTTCTCAATGAATAAATCGAAAGAGTTAGTTGCCCCTCTTTTTTTTTTTTAAAAAAGCAGCGAGTTTGTTTACATTCTCATGAAGTCCTCAACTTATTATAAGATCAAGTTTTTTTATTATATTCTTTTTATTTTACTTTTTTATTATATTATTGTCTTTAGATTGTCTAATCCAGTTCAAGACTTTTGTATGTAGTTATTAAATGAATAATTAAAAATATTTAATTTATCGCAAATGAAATATATACGAACGTTTACAAGTGACGATTAGTTCACGTAATAATTTCAACTTAAATTATTCCGCGCAATTTGTATATTACATTTACTTTCCATGCGTGCAAAACGAAATCTTTTCTTCAAGCACTCTCTAGTTACTTGAATGTGCTAGGGAATATGATTCACCTCGCATAATTATCTAATTTGGGCGAAAGTAGAAAATGACTACTTCTTTTATCATTCAGCCTGCTCTATAGAAAAAAAGTACGTAAAATAATATGAGTAAAAATAACATAATTTATAGTTAGTAGAAATATATAAAATTGTGCGTTTTTACAAAAATTAATACTTTTATCTTTAATTGTAACTTAAATTTTTTGTGATAAAAATATGAATATAATATGTGTGACATGTAACATATCACACATATTATATTTGTACACATATTTTTATATTTGTATACATTAATAACATCGTAGTTTGATAACATGGGAAAAATTGTACGTTGATAAATTAAATATTTTTATAATAAACTTAACTCCATTTATATATAAATTTATTACTTTTGTGTGTGTAAATTGTTTAATTATTGCAAGAACAATTTTATTTGTAAGCTGTGACTTCATTTTAGGTGTAAATATTACAGAATAGGAGGCAGTACAATTTCAAACGTGTTACAATTTTGAATAAACTAAAAATCCAATTTTCGAGATTTAAGTTTGTTAACTTTTTTATCGTGTGGGGTATATTGAAAAGTATCAAATAGGAAAAAGTTAAACTTGAACTTCAAAAATTGAATTTAAATCTCGTTTCGTTCCATGTTCCGTTTGTGTGTCCATTTGTATCATGTTCAGAATAAGATCGTTCAGAATTATACTCTGCACCATAAACAATGGGTCTCAAAATTATTCACTGTAATTGTTGTAATTTTACACGTAATTTTTTTTACATTGTGGACGAGCCATGTTTCTTACAGGCGCATTTTTTTACGCGAACCTCTGTGCGTGATGTATTCAGCACGATTGACCGTCAAAAGTGAATGGCCAACGGTAAATTCGCCTTTACCTTTGACATGAGCTCGCGTTCCGGATCGGGGGCAAGCAACTAGCTCTAGAAAAAGTAAGCCGTACTAGAAGAGATCCCTGACCCGGTTCGGAAAGACTTCAGCTCGTTCTCCTTTAGCTTGAGGAGAGGGGGACAGATTACCGGTGTGTTCTTTGTGCAATTCGACGGGTTTTGAACATCTGAGGTCAAGGGCGAATTAACTTTCTGCTTGCGTCTCGATACCTATCGGCGGAAGCTCGGAATCACGGCCAAACTGGATTTCTCATTGGAATTAATAATATAACGTAAATGCAAGAAAATTGCATCTGTGTGATAAAAACGGACGAAGGTAATCGGCATTCTCTGCATTTTAATCGTGCGATTCATAATTTCACAGGTGTCGAGTTGACTGTCGAAAAGTTTCCGCTTGAATAGTAGCGCGATTTTTACAATGAAAACGTTATCATGGAACATACGTTTTTATCTCGTACAGTACATAGTAATGCCTGAGTATTGAGAGTGTAGTGATATCGAATTTTTTATGTCAGAATACTTTCAATGCGCTCGATGAATAATATACAGTATATCTTTGAGTTTTTTTTCCACAAAATATATAGACAGACTGCACACATTCGGGAATATATTTACCGAGAATAAAAACGAACGGCATACATATACCTGCAACTATTTAACTTGCAGCACATGATATGCAAAATACAAGGATTTAACGTTACGTAAAAAGGTGTAAAACTCATCTCTGCGAATAAAGATGAATTTGTGTTTGTAAAGTTAGCACGGTGTTTTATTAATTTAAAAAAAACCAAGGTAGTTCCAGTAACACTCTATAACTTCATCATTCCTGATAAAAATTAAAAATATTCATTTATAATATTAAAAAATGCATTTATAATATTAAAAAATCAAAAATTAAGATGTAGAAAAATGGGTAATTGTTAGAATTTTGTTTTGAAATGACATATGTTGGTAGAACTGTTGCCAAAAGTAATAATATTTATCATTTTCTTTTATTTTAGAAGCAGAAATGTCATAGTAGATTAGCGAAGTTAGCACGCCCATATTTTCATTTTTTATTTCTTATATAAACAGTGCAGGACTTTTTATCTTTACAAGGAGCTGTAGAACTGTAAAAAGTGTTATTGGAATTGCCAAATTTTTTTATATTAATAAAATGTCATGCCAACTTCACAGCGATTTGATTATTCGTCATGTTCTAAGTATAGCTTCGACATACACGATATACGGCCGTTTTCTTTTGCGACAAAGGAGGTAACTACGGAGAGCGGCTAAAATCTCCTAGTCTCGCGAGTGGCTAATATTGT